ACTACCAGCAATTCCGTGGGAGAAAGATGAGGCTTTCTGCTCTTGTGAAGATTTATAGCCTCGGAAACCTATGCAGGGTTGCTATGAGTCGGAACTGACTCCACGGCACATAACAAACAAATAATAGAGTCCAAAAATCTTGAAACAAAATTGGATTTAATTAGTGCTACTTAGTGCTGTATCTTACTCACTAAACAGCAATGTGTGTTTGAATTAGAAAATCAGCAGTTCAAACTCAACCAGCTAATCTTGGGCACACTGTACAGGGTCACTATGAGGCAGCACACAACTTGTTTTGACCTTTAGTATAAAACATTGCAAAAAGCACGTAAGTTACGTTAGTGTTGTTCAGTGCCTTCAAGTTGGTTCTGACTCACAATGACCCTGTATAGGGTGTCCAAGGATCAGCTCTGTTTTAGTACATCTTTTATTGTTATTAAGTGCTCACTTACCGACCTTCTATAGGGTTTCTAAGGAGTAGCTGGTGAGTTTTAACTGCCAACCTTGCAGTTAGCAGCCCAGTGCTTATACTGCCACACCAGGGCTCCTATATTTTGCTAGGCAACATTAAAATGAAATGTTCTTTGGTAGATTTGATAAGTAGTACAAAACAATATTAACATTTTTTGTTTTCCTACTTTTACCTTTTATTAAGAATTTCATTTTTGATAGAAGCACTTACAGGTAATGCACTTCTACATATATAGATTTTATTTCTTATAAAGGATAGATTATTATACTTCAGATGTACCTTTTTAAATGAAATTGTAATGCTTTCGTCTACTTTTACCATCAATATGTAGGTATCAAAACTGCTTTCACCAAAAAATGTGGGGAGACAGCTTTTATTGCACCGCAGTGTGAAATGATTCCAATTGAATGGGTGTGTAGAAGAATAGCAACTGGTTCATTTCTCAAAAGAAACCCTGGCGTCCAGGAAGGATATAAGTTTTACCCACCTAAAGTGGAAATGTTTTTCAAGGTAATTATTTTATGCATTTATGTCTTAAGATAATGTAGCAACAGACTTATAATTAACAGAATCAAAATATTTAAATGTTTACTATTGATGGTTGTTATTCCAGAAATTTATGTAAATGATACATATGTCTATTGTTGTTAAGTGCTATAATGCTATCAAGTCAATTCTGACTCAGAACGACCTTGTACAGTGTTTCCAAGGAACGGTTCGTGAGATTGAACTGCTGACCTTGCAGTTCAAGCCAACCTTGCAGTCCAGCACATTAACCCACAGCACCAGATCAGGACTCCATACATCTATTAGCAATGAATAAATCAGTTTATAAAAGAAAATTTGTGCAAAAACCCAGTTACATCTGGATTAAGGTGACTGACTAAATGAATGAACTAAATTCAAATTTTCCGAAACTTTACTATTAAAGAGTTTAAAGTGTAGACTTTGTAAAGAAATTATTGCATTCCAATACAAGAAAATTATATATCAGTCTCTCTTAAAAGTGAAAATCTATACAAAAAAGAATTAAATAGGAATCATTGATTATGAATGTTTAATTGGTTTTCTTTATTGGAACCGATTTTTTGTTTCCATCTTGGTTTGTGACGTTAAACATAGTTTTTCTACTATGAAAGCAAAGTCAGTGTTGAATTTTGATCAGTTGGTAGCATAACGTCAGGTGTTCATATTAAGATTATAATCATACCAATAACTATCCATAAAAGATAACTACCATGTGATGAAGTTGGGACACTACTTAAAATATCTTTTATGAAGCCTTTTGAATTATCTAAAATAATGTCCCTGCACATTTGTGCTTTTTCTAAGTTCTTAGCAAAAATAAGGTCAGGAGGTGCCATGTAGTTGATCACTTTTATCTGGTCTTTTTCACTGTGATCTTGTAACTCCCAACAAGTAAAATTGCTAAAATTTATCTGTTGTTAAAGTGGTACCATATGAACAAGAGCCAATGATACTCAGG